TACTGTGGTGCCCAAAACTGCACACAGGACTGCTGCTGCGCTCCGGATTAAGCTGTAAACTGCCCAGAGCAGTTACATTTTTATTTAAGACTTTTTAAAAGCCTTTTGGTTCGTTATAACCTCTCATTAGTGTCTGGAGAAAGAGTCACACACTCTTCTCTAAAAGAATTCTTTTTAATTTTTAGTGAGAAAAATAAGATATTTTGGCAAAAGGTTTTTACAGGAGTAAAATACAACCAAGAAAAAAAGCATTTCACTAAAACATTCAGCAAAAAGACCCATTCCACAGGAAACACCCACTAAACCAATCCATACAGCAGCTTTAGTAAAACACAGTTCATTAGTTTTAAGTTAATCACAAGAGAAGGAAAAGAGTAAAAGAAAACAGATTAAAAGGAATAAAGAAAGAAGGAGAAAAAAGGAGAGAATAGTTACCAACAAGATTCAATAATTCACATGGTGCCGGACGGAGAGGGAGAAGAGAGAGACCACATGGAATCTCGTGTATTTCTAGAGTTCAGTTTTCCCTCCCAGGCAGGATATCCAGTCAGTGCCTTCCAGGCCGGAGTGAGTTGGGCTGTAGCAGTCACAGGCTGCAGGGGTGTGGTGTGGGTGGGCTACCAGGCAGATCTGACTTGACTGACAGCCCAGCTGCAGGGCCTTCAGTGATGCCGTGTGCTCTGCGTGGGCAGCAGGCCTTGCCTTCTGGCTCTGTCCTGTGCCCTCAGCACAGGCCTTATGTGCAGGTGTTACTATCGACCTGCAGGTCCAGGCCCAGCCCTTCCCCACAGGAACACACACACACACACACACACACACACACACACACACACACACACACACAGTGATTTCGTTCCGACCCATATCAATAATTCAGTGAGATTCGGATCCAGGATCTCACAACTGCACACAGGACTTGAGGTGAGGCAGAGTAGAATGGGACAATCATCTCCCTCGAACAACTGGCAATGCTTTGCCTGATTGGCCCTCCTGGATGCCAGGGCACTGCTGACTCATGTTCTACTTGCCATCAACCCCCAGGTCCCTTTCTGTGGTGCTGCTGTCCAGCATCTCATTCCTCAGTTTGCACTGTACACCCAGGGTTGCCCCATCCCAGGTGCAGAATCTAGCACTTTCCCTTGTTCAACTTAATATGGTTGGTGATTGCCCAGCCCTCTGATTTGTCTAGGCCTCTCTGTGGGACCTCTCTGAAGGAGCCTACAGCTCCAAGTCCTTTATGAAGATTGTGAAGAGCACTGGCCCTAAAATGAAGCCATGCCAAACTCCACTAGTGACCAGTCACCAGCGTGCTGCAACCCCATTTACTATAACCCTTTGTGCCTGACCCATGAGCCAGTTGCTCATCCACTGCACGTGTTTATCCAGCTGAATGATGCGCAGAAACAGAAGAAATTGACAGGCCTGTAGTTACCAGGGCCATCCCTCTTGCCTTTCTTGAAAATTGGGAGAACACTGATGGACCTCTGTACCTTGAAAAGCATTTTTGCAGGGGACCTTGCTAACTAGTTCCCTGAGCAGCCTGAAGCCTGCTCTCTTCATATCAGGAGTTGAAGTTTTTCTGGCTCTCTTCCTCCTGTCAACAGAGATTTTAAACTCAATTGTTTTGAGGTTTTGAGGTTGGCCAAGATGGCCACCATTCGTCACTCCACTCACAATACCCTCTTAGTTAACAAGCAAAAAGATCAAGGAGAGCACCTTTCCTATTCGGCTCCCTTAGTACCTGTAACAAAAAGTGCTTTAGGAATCTTCTGGACCTGTTTGTATCAGCTCTGTGGTAGTCCAATTAACGTCTGGCAAGTTGAAGTTCCTCCTAAGGACAAGGGTGGTTGATTTAGAGGTGTCCCTTAGTTCCTTAAAGAATAATTCATTAGTGTAGTCATCCTGGATGGCTGGCCTATAGTAGACTTGCATGACAATATCCACTTTATTTGTTTGTCCCTTAATCCTTACATGTCAAAGCAGTCTTTATCCCTACATAGAATATGTCAATATGACTACTTTCTTATATTTTCAGTCTGCCAGGTAAGCAAAGATTAAAATATTTCCCATCCTGGCATGCTAGTTCTTGCTCAGCCACGCACTAGTCAGAATAAACACAACCTGATACGCATGACAATACTTCCAGTCCCCTCAACTTAAAGCTTTTAACATGTAGGCATTTGGGAAAATTTTTCAAAGGGAACTACTTTTGGTTTTGAAGGCTCATATTTTAAAGTTTCTAGGAGTAACTTTAGGAAATTTTGTATTTCTGTATTTTTATATAAATTTTCAGGCACTTCAGAAATTTTGTACAGTATTTTACTTCAAGTGCCTACTATATCTTGATCCAAGAGAGGTCTGTGGTAAGTAACAGGCTAACCAGTTAGGTCATGGTTGCATTTGTTACTTTGACAATGAACACTGGAGAATCAAATCCACTGTTTTATTACAATGCTTCTTACATAATAACAACTAAATGTTGTGTACCTTTGCCTAAATGCCAGCAAATGGTCTCAGTTCTGTTAGCATTTCATTGACATTCAGTCTGTGGCTTCATGTTGGCCAAACCCAATAATGGTCCCATCTGCCAAGTCTTGCTCCTACATTCCTAATTCCTTAGCAGCAAGAGAACAGGAGTCTAAGTATTGTGAAAAGCTTGACTTTTGTTTAATTTGAATTTCAAGCTACTGATATACATCCCCAACAAAGTTATGCTGAAGGATGATTATTTGCCACAGAGCAGTTTCTCCCTCAGGTAATCAGTCAGCATTTGCCTCCAAATTCCTGTCACTGCCTGCTATTAGCAAGTCCCTGCTTTATTTCCCAGAATCCTTCTTCCTTCACAAGTAGTGGCATCACTTTACTGTTTCCAGCCTCTACTCTTTCCCTGATAACAGAAGATGCAAAGAAGACAGAGTTACAGAATGCCTTCTTTGCATTGGTTTTCACTGACAAAATCAACCCTCAAGAATCTCTGGCCCCAGAGATCAGGAATGTTGGAAGGATAAAGGACCAGGGTAAAGGAGTGTTGGAAGGAAGATTTACCCTTGCTCAAGGAGGATTGAGTTAGAGAACACTTAGGCAATCTTGACATCCACAAATCCATGGGCCCTGAGGGGATGCATCCACAAGTGCTGAGGGAGCTGGCACATCAGCTCACAATCATTTTTGAAAGGTCATGGCAATCAGGAGAGGTGCCTGAGGACTGGAAGAAAGGAAATGTCACATTGGTCTTCAAAATGGACAAGAAGGAGGACCCATGGAACTACTGGCCAGTCAGACTCACCTCAGTCCCTGGAAAGGTGATAGAGCATCTCATTCTGGAGGTCATCTCTATCCACATGGATGACAAATGGGAGATCAGGAGTAGTCACCATGGATTCACTAAAGGTAAATCATGCTTGACCAACCTGATTGCCTTCTATGATGAAACAACTACCTAGATGGATGAGGGGAAGGCAGTGGTTGTTGTCTACCTCGACTTCAACAAGGCTTTCAGCACTGTCTCTTGCATCATCCTCATAGGCAAACTCAGGAATTGTGTCCTGTGTCCAGAATGAGTGGACAGTGAAGTTGACTGAGAACTGGCAGATCCCAGAGGGCATCCCAGTGGCATGGTTGGAGGCCTGTCATTAGTGGTGTCCCCCAAGGTTCAATGTTGGGCTCAGTATTGTTTAATTTATTCATCAGTGACTTGGATGAAGGGGCAGATGCTTCCTCTGCAAGTTTGCTGACAATACAAAGCTGAGAGAAGGGGCCAATACCTCAGAGTACTGTGCAGCCCTTCAGAAGGACCTCAACAGATTGGAGAGATGGGCAGAGAACTGTCTGAAATTCAACAAAGGCAAGTGCAGGGTCCTGCACCTGAGGAAGAATAACCCCTGGCACCTGTACAGGCTGACCTGCTGGAAAGCAGATCGATGGAGAAAGACCTGGGGGTCCTGCTGGACAGCAAAGCTATCCGTGAGCCAGCAGTGTGTCCTTGGAGCCAAGGCCAATGGTATCCTGGGGTACACCAGGAAGAGAATTGCCAGCAGGTTGAGTGAGGTGATTCTGCCCCTCTACTCAACCCTCTGAGGCTGGATTGAGAGTGCTGTGTTGTCTCTCAAGAAGAGACAACTGAGAGGAAACATCATCAACAGATATAAGTATCTGAAGAGAGGGTGCCAAGAGGATGGAGTCGGGCTCTTCTTGTATTTGCTAAGCAATAGGACAAGAGGAAATGGGCAGAAACTGATGCTCAGGAGTTCCACCTGAATATGAGGAAGAATTTCTTTACTGTGTGGGTGGTCAAGCGCTGGAACAGATCACCCAGAGAGGCAGTGAATTCTCCCTCCCTGGAGATATTCAAGAACCATCTGGACACAGAATCACAGAATTGGAAGGGTTGGAAGAGACCTCTAGTGATCATCTAGTCCAACCACCCTGCCAAGGCAGGGTCACCTAGAGAAGGTTACCCACGTCAAGGTGGGTTTTGAATGTCTCCAGAGAGAGAGAAAGAGAATCCTGTGTCATGTGCTCTAGGATGACCCTACTTGAGCAGGGAGGTTGGACCAGATGCCCCACTGTGGTCCCTTCCAACCTTACCCATTCTGTGATTCTGTCATTTCGTTTGCCTCCGAGCTACTCCTCGTTAATGACCTTACTCCTCTGACCTACTTGAAAGCTTTCTTCTTTGAGAAATCAACAGTCAACAGTACAGTTTGCACATGGCCCCTCAATTACTTAAGCAACCCAAAACATCTTTTTTGTGTGGTTTTTTTTTTTTTTTGTTTGTTTGTTTGTTTAATCTCTTACAGCATTCCAGCTACGAGTAGGTTTTGGTCTCCGTTATTACCGGCGCGGCTCCGCCCGCCCCTGCCCCGTTCCCCTCCCCTCCCCGCTGCGGGACAGGATGTCCCGCCTCCCGCTGCTCTCCCGATTGGTAGAGCGCTCCGCGGGCGTACCAGGAGCCGAGCTTAGCCCGTCTCCACTAGCGAAGGAGGGACCGGCGAGCGGCTCCGCCGGCGGAGGGGTGGGGGGCGGGCGGGCGAGGGAAGGAGGGGCGAGGATTACCCGGGGCCGAGCGGGCGGCGGTGTAGCGACGCGAGGAGCCGTCGCCATCGCCGCAGCTGCCCGGTGAGTGTGAGAGCCCCGACAGCTCGGTCGGGCTCGGCGGGGAGCGGGGAGGAGAGGGCGGCAGTGCCCCCGCCCCGCGGAGCGGTGGTGGGCGGGCGGGCGGCGCGGGGAGAGCGGCCTCCGCTCCGCATCCCAGGAGGGGAGGGAAGGGGAGGAGCGGCCCCCGCGCCGTGTGCGGCGACCCCTGCCCGGGCGGGGCTTTCCCCGCTCCTCCCGCTCGAGTTCCCGGCGACCCCCGCCCCGCCGCCCCCTCCCCGGGCTGGCCGAGGTGGGGGAAAGCAGCGGCTGGCCTCGTCAGGGGCGGTGATAGCGGGACGTGAGCGCAGGGGGTGGTTTGGGATGGGATGCTCCCGGGAGAGGGGCAGCCCCCGGGCCTGGGCTGCCAGCGGGGAGGAGGGGGTGCGGGTGACCCTGATAATCGCTTTATGTTGGCCTGCGGCTTGCGTAATCTGCGATCAATTATTTATTTCATGCACCACTTACGGGGCTGAGGGGCAGCGTTAAGGCCTCTGGTGTGGCTCAGTGCAGCAGAAGGGGAGGCTTTCTTCCCACGGGTGTGATAGGGAAGGGAAATGAAAGCTTTTTTCTGGGTTCAGATAGTGTTCTTAATGCGTGTTCCTCTCCCCGTGCAAATTCAGGGGATGTAAGCGAGGGAGGTCCTTCTTCATGATACATTTTTAAAGATCCAGTGGAAGCCATCCTAGTCTGGACGAAAATAACCTTGTGTGGTTTACTTCATGTGCTAGATTGTGTTTTTTTTTTCCCCCCCTCATTCTGTGGCCGGTTGGGCTGCTCAGCCAGCCTGGAGAGAAGGCTGAAGAAGGAAACATGTCTTCTGATTCTTTTTGTCTGTCTGCTCAAGCAAGATTTGACTCCAAATGGTTGAAGACAGACTTGCAGGTAAGAAGTTTGATGGTCCTAGTGCATCGTGACCTTTCAGGTGCAGATCAAGGATGCTTTTAGTCTGAGAAGCTGACGAATAGAAGATTGCTCTTGAGTTAGTGTATGGGGTTTTCTGACTACACAGATTTAAAGCTGGTTTTGAAGAAACATTTTGAAGAACTTATTTTGAGCTGCAAATAGATCATTGTCAGTTCAGTCCCTTATGCTTTGAAACAAGCTGGGCTACATATGTATGTTATCTTTGCACAGTGTCAAAACCCTTAGTTAAGTATGTGGCATTTCTGCTAGAACTATAAATTCTTCATTTAGGCTGTTGCTAAATGTCTTGCCTGCATAGCAGCTTTAATGCATGGGAGAACTGAAGCGAAAGGTGATGGAAATCTAATTTACGTTTTCAAGAATTCAAATTAGCTTTAACTGTAGCTCTGTTTATATGATGGGTAGAGGCATCCTTTTGAATTTGCTCCCATTTGAAGGGAGTTAATTTTTTGTCAAAGATATGTGGCTGAAATGGAAGTGGTTTTTGAAATGTACCAGTGTTTGGTGAAAGTTTTCTTTTGTCTTAGAAGATGATCTGTTCATTGTATCATACAGCTTGCATAAGGGAGGAGAATACCATCATGTTTTCCAAAATCAGGTTTGACAAGTGGAAAATACAGAGAAATAGAGTGCTTTGGGTCAGTTATATTTGTTTTAGATGAAATGAGTAACTAGATTAAGTCCTTGTCTCCTCATCTTCCTTTCCCCAGATGGTGCATATAGATCCCTTACCTTGAATAACTGTGCAAGTTCCTGCACAAAACTCTGAAATTCTTGTTGGGATGTGCCAGCCAGCGTTATTCCTTTGTTACAGTTAATAATAATGCTACTGAAAATTTCTTAAAAATTCTGTTTTTGTGACTTTATCCCAGATATGTGCTGATAGTCTGAATGGTTGAGTTGAGCTGTTCATGTGGTTAGACAAGGATTTTTCCCCATGCAGTTGTGATTTGAAAGCAGTCTTTCTCCAGAATTTTACATCAAAGAAGCTAAATTGGAATCAGAAGTGACAGATATAGCCTAAGAGGTTACATTATTTACTAGGTCTTGTATGTAAATGCTATAAAATGACAGGGCTTGCTCTTGATTTGGCTAGATTGGTTCTATTTTCATCTTCTGTTCTTACAGAAGTAAAAGTTTTGATCTAAAGTCAGATGTTTTGTCTAATGTGGTAAATAAGCACAGTAAAAGATGTTTTGGAGATAAGCTTATTAAGAAATATGGAAATATTTTTTTGTTTCCAAGAGGGTAGCTTCTAGATTACAAATATATTGCTTCAATGATTGTTGAATACGGGAAAATTTTAGTTGAAAAAGTGACAACCTTTGTTTGTAACAGCTGCTGACTGTGTTGCCTGTTTTTCTTCTGTATTATATGGGGTGAAAAATGTGACTATTCATGTGATTTGTCAGATTTTTCCTCTTATTCATAGTATCTTTTTTCTGCATCCCTTTGTCATGTAAACTTTTTCAATTGTCATTCAAACTTCTAACAGTTATTTTTAGTTGTGTGTATAAATGCAATGAAATATTTGTTTTTAATGAGTCTAGTTAATGTGTTGTAATAATGCATTTTAATAATAGAAGTCTTAATTTGTAACACAGTTCTATGAATAAATGCTCTTACTTATAAGAGTTCTTTATGAGTAATTACAAGTTAGACTCTAATTGTCAGGGTACTCCCTTTGTTTTCTTCTAATCAAGCTGTAATCAAAATAATGAGATTAATGAAATAACAGTAATTGTTTGTAATCTACTGGACACAAACATCACTTTTCTGGAATCTGAAGACTACCCAGGCTGCCTGGGTATAATATAATTTTCTTACTAGATTAACTGTTTTTTGGCATTACACAGGTCCTTGTCACAGAACTCTTATTTTGATGTATGTATTTGGCATTTTGAAAAATCTGCATGTGAGCCTTGAATTGCATCTTTTTAATGTATTAAATGGCAGATGTCTTCTGTCAAGGGGGGGTTTTGGGCTCTGGAGAAAGGGCTCTTCAAAAGGGGTTTTGGGCTCTGGAGAATTTTTCTATTACATGATTGGCTATTTTAGCTACTGGTTGACTAGCATGACCTAGCTGCATGTGAATTTTTTTTAATAGGTATAAATCCTGTCTCTTAATCCTTTGAGTTCAATGTGTACTGAATATGCAGATCTCCTACCATTCATGTTTTTGCCATCTCAACCATAGAAGGGCCTTATTGGTGTTCAAGAGGCTGTCAGCAGGAGTTGAAAAGATGAACACAGTACTATGAGGGGTTTGAAGAAGACACACTAAACGACTACAAATTATTGTTTAGAATGGGACCCTGAAACTCTTCAGTTTGCAGCTTTTTTAACTTTTCACTGTAAATCATTCCAAGAATGAGTAGGTGAAAGTTCTTGGAGAAACAGAATTATACTTAAGAGACATACAAAGTTTTTAAAACTAACCTTTGCTGTAGCAAAATTTGGGATGTATAGCTAGAATTGGAAGTAAAATGTTTCACTTGGTGGCCTGGTAGTCTCCAAAGTCTGATTTACCCTTTTTCTTTGTCACTGCTGCTGGACAGTTTGCTCTTTCGACTTGACTGGCATTTATTGTGGATTAAACCGGTGAAATGTCTCTGAAAATCATTGTATTCCTTTTTGTTTCAGTTGAAGATGCTGTTGCATTAACAATGTAATACACTATATTCTAGTACTATGTGCATTAATAAGTCTATAATATAGTGGTATTAATATAATAAGGAAAGAATGATTGTAGCGTGGATTGTGTTTAATCACCTGTGTGCGTCACTGTTGCAGCTGGTGTCCGGGCCAAATTTAAATGTTCTTACTCGGTTTTGGGATGTTACTGCTAAGAAACAAAGGCAGTGTGATGTAGCATGTTATTACTGTTCTTAAGAGAATGTTAAAGGTGCAAGCTCTTTTGAAGTAGCAGTGAGCCTCTGGCCTGCAGGATGTACTGAAGTGGTGCAAATGTTAATAGAAGTGTATCTTGACAATACGCTTTTTGCTTATATTAATTTATCTGAAACTAAATAATACTATTTTAGGAAGCCAAAATACTCTACAAAGACCCAGACCGACCCTATCCCGTGACTATTCTGTGTCATTTTATTAACTTTGTGATTTTTGACCTGTGATTGTATAATTTACAGTAACTGTATAATTTACAGTTACTAGTATAATTTTGAAATGCTTAGAAACAATTGTTTTACTAGAAATTCTAAATTTCCTGGTGGAGCAAAATAAGATGTCCTGTGTTGTCTGAAAAAAACACAAACTGTTACAGCAGCTGAAAAATTAAATCAGCTGAATATAAGATAACATCAGTAGTACAATATGTAATCCGGCCTCCGATGATGTATATCAATATATGTGTGTATAACATCGTTCTTAATAAAATAATCCTGTGAAGTCATAAAACAGGTGGATTTTACTACAGGTCACTTTATCATGTGTCATGTTTAACGTCACTAGGAAAGTCAGCATATAATTTCAATTTCTGATTTATTTATTTAGATTTGAATTAATACATTTAAAAACACCTACCTAATTATGACTATTTCTAGTAGAAACCATCATATTTATAGCAAAATCTGTGTGAAATAGGAGATTTTGTTTTAATGACTGTTTCTAAGGAAGACATGCTTTTATTTTAAAGAGGGGAGGTTAAAATTGTTTATTTAAACCTAGGTACTCAGTTTGTAGAATCAAACTGTGCTTAAAATAATTCTGATTAAATAGATGTACTGTACTAATTTAGAATCTTATGCAGAGACCTTTAATTAGTGATGGATGAATAACTGAAAACTAGAATTGCTGTGAGCTAAGGGGATGCATGTGTGTGTTCAAATGGTGTTTAATTAGGCTGCTTATTCTGGATCCTGTGGAGAACTATTGTGCTTACTAGCAGGAGATAGAGGGAAAACGTTTCGTTTTCCTGTAGTGTGGAGAAAAACTTTAGGCAACAGTGAAGGTGCAAGAGCTGTCTACAAGTGGAACATGATGCATTTTCATCAGTTTTCATTGAGTTCATTGTTGGCAGACTATTTCTATCATCATGTTTTGCCATGATGAAAGTGAGCTTTTTAAGATGAAAAATCCACCTTTAAGAGTTGCGTTGGTTTGAAATCTTCTTACTTTCCCTTCAAAATTACATTCAGCATTTTGATTTTTATGAAAATCCTACTCTTTGAACTGGAAGACCAGCAGACTTACTATGGGGACTTTTCTAGTTTTACCCTCAAATCCATTGAAGAAATGTGGGGCTGCTGAACTTTTCTGTCTTTGCTGTCAGAGCTTTGGAGCAGTATGTTTAGATCTAATGATGGTTAACTGTACTTTGCATAGGTGTGATAAGCAGCTGTGGTTTCAGGACATGCTTCATTCAGCAGGGAAGGAAGGAAGCTAGGACACAATACTGACAAAGACAACAATGAAAAAGGAAGCATGAGTTGAATGGATTCAAAAAAGCAAAAATGAAAGAGAGACTTGGGAAAGGACGTACTGCTCTGTGATTTTCTTTGCTATTACTGGGCTGTTTTTAATTTTATTATATTTCTAAAGAGAAACGTTTTTTAATGGACTTTAAAATACCATGTCGATGCCGGTGTCTTATTGTCTAGAGTTGATGGGAATGGACAGAAATTTCACTGCCAGCTCTGTTGGAGAATGGCAGCAGCATATGCCAGCAGCCAAACTAGATACCCCTTGGACTTAATCAAATGTTGTACTAGACAGAATAAATTACTGTTTAACTGCAGAGATGAGATTAACAAAAGATTAGAGTGGGGTCTGCCCAGTTTACAGTAGAAATTCACTTTAAAGTCTACTTAGGGCCTTCCCTTTTTGGTTTGGGATAACTAGGGCTGAGCCTTAGGTTTGTGTGGGAAGTATGGATTTGGTGAGATACATGGCTTTCAAGTGCAGAGATCAAGATGTGCTCTGGGAATGAGAAAGTGCAACAAATGGTGGAAGAGGCTTGGGGTTTGTGAAAGTGAGGTGCATAGGAGATGGGGATTGAGAGGAGGTCAACAGATGCCATGGGAAGGATGAGGGAGATTTTGAGCATGGGGAATGAGTAGGAGGATTAGGAACATGGGCTAAAGTTGCAAGGCAATGGATAGTAGTAGTGGAGCATGGAACTGCTCTTGTCCAGTGTGTAGGTGGTAGGGCAAGCAGGGACTTAAGAGAGAGATTTACATAAAGTACATCTCTGGTACTGTTGCCAGTTGCAAAAGTTCAGTGAAACTTAATTATTTTTAATTTGTTAGCTTACTGAGTTTGTCAAGTTCATCCCTTTAAACATTCACAAATAAAGTTACTAAGGTATTAGAGGGAAAGATGTCCACGTAAATCAAGCAATCTAGTGAGTGTTAGACTTTACAAAACACAGATTGCTGCTCTTGTGCTCGCAACTCAAGTACGTCAGAAACAGTGAAGGCACCAAATGCGTTTTTTGTCTCTTCCACTTCACCGCGGATTACCTTGTGAACTTTAAATAAAGAATTTAGTGGAAGAAGTGCCATATTTTTTTTGCAAAATAGAAGGCAGAAAGATACTTTCTAAATTTGTTCTGAACAAATTTCTAGTTCTCTCTGACTGCTTGGATGTGTTGATAGACTCCTTATAAATTACTGAATGCAATGTTCTGGCTAAGATACTGTAGAAAGAAAAAATACTGTAGAAAGAAAGAAAAGCAGGATTATGTAGTCAAAGCTGATATTCGAGTTTTCTACCATACATTTGACTTACTGTTATCTTCAACTGCTAGTTTCATAGGATCACAAATGGTTGAGGTTGGAAGGGACTTCGGTAGGTCAGCTGGCCTAACTCCCCTGCTCAGGCAGGGCCACCTAGAGCCCATTGCCCAGGACCAGGTCCTAATGTCTTTTGACTATCTCCAGGATATTAAAACAACCTCCCTGGGCCCTCTGTGCCAGTGCTTGGTCACCCTCACAATGTGAAAGTGTTTCTTGGTGGTCAGAGGGAACCTCCTGTGTTTCAGCATATGCCCACTCCCACTGGTCCTTGTCACTGGGTGCCACTGGGCAAAGCCTAGCTCCCTCTTGTTTACACCTTCCCTTCAGATGTTTATATATATTGATGAGTTTTTTTCCCCACAAGACTTCTCAAGCCTAAACAGTCTCAGCTGTCTCTGCCTTTTCTCATGAGAAAGATGTTCCATGCCCTTAATCATCTTTGTGGCCTTTTGTTGCACTCCCTTCTGTATGTCCATGTTTTCTCACACTAAGGAGCCCAGCACTGGATCCAGCACTCCAGGTGTGGCCTCACCAGTGCTGAGTAGAGGGGAAGGATCACCTCCCCAAATCTGCTGGTAATACTCTTCCTAATGCGGCCCATGATACCCATTAACCTTCTTTGTGGCGAGGGCACATTGGTGGCTCATGTTCAACTCAGTCCCCACCAGGACCCTTGGGGTCTAGTCTGCAAAGCCATTTTCCACCTGAGTTACCTCCAGCCTGTACTGCTGCCTGGGGCAGTTTCTCCCCAGGTGCAGGACCTCACACTTGTTGTTCAGCTTGATGAGGTTCTTCTCAGCCCACTTCTCCAGCTTGTTGAGGTCCCTCTGGATGCTAGCATGAGCCTCTGGCCTCCCCATTTCTGTAGGTTAAATGACATATTTCTCTCAAGAGAGTGGTGAATCTTATGATTATGTATTTTTGAGATCATGAAAATAAAATTGCTTAAATAATTTATCACTTTAGAACTCAGTCTTTTCTTTCGTTTTTGACTATCATGTATAGCATATAGCATCTATTTGCTGAATGTTGAGTAGATTATTAAGTTGTCCTCAGTTATGACAGATGAATTGGTTGTAAGAACTGTTTCTTAGTGATCCTTTCAGTTGGTTCCCTTGATTATTGCTTCAAAATAAGTCCAGTGTTCCTTTACTTTCAAGCATGTCTCCTTTTTCCCTTCCCCCAACACACATACTGCTGACAAAATGTTAACTACAACCTGAGTAAAGGCAAAATTGTTTATCTGAAGGCTGCTTATGGAATAAGCTTCCACACGAAGTATTTGGAGAAGGAGGTGGAACTCTCTGTGACCTGTAGTCTTGGTGATTCCTCTATCTTTATGCAACATACCAAGAAAATTACTTTGATAAGAATTTGAACACCAAACCCAAGGCAGAAGAAATTTTGTTTACTTTTCCAGTTTTTAGTTGTGTGAAAGAGTTGAGTGAACTTTTTGCTGTGTAAAAGGATTAGAGGTTAAAGTGGAGAAAACAGTTCTCGATTCTAGTTTGCAGGAATGCTTTCAAAAGTAATAAATTTTCTGAAATAAAACAGTGCTTGAATTCAAAACCTGTAGGCCTTTAGATTATAAACTGTGAGAATTGTTTCCATACCAAGGTGATCTGAATGTGAAAGAAAATGCGTGAAAAGACAATTTATTAGAGAAAGAACTTTAGTTTTTGAAAACTGTAGCTTATTATGCAACCCATCTGGAGGGTTGCCTCACTTGCTGTTTTTCAAGCTTGTATTTTAGCATAGGTTAGCATTTAACAGGCAAAAGTTTCTTTTTTTTCTAATCTATCACATATGAGCCAAAATTAATGAAACAGTTGTGTTTTGCTATTTTCACAAGAAAAAAATTATGATAAATGAATTCCTTAGGTGCCCCTCTAAAGACCACATCTGAAGAAGGAAAACCCATATATTGTTGAAATATTTCTAGACTGAGAACAATGCAAGAAAATCACTTAATGGTGAATGATTTTTTCATTGTTGAAATGAACTATAAGATTATTTCAATTTTTTTTTTTTTTAAATTAAGCCAAATGTGAAGCTTTTAGCAAAACACAAATCTTTGCAAAAGGTCTTTATGCTGTCAAGCCCTGAAGAACAGGGACTGTACCTTTCCGTAAAGCATGGTCACTATAATTCTAGTGCTACACAGTTGATTAATCACACATAAGTTGAATAATGTCTAGCTCACGCTGCATCATTTTTTTCCCTCTTATATCTCTGAGATCAGGGCATAGTAAGTGACAGATATGTACAATGTCAGCCTACATTTTATGCTGAAAGAAAAACTACTAAATTATCAATGTCTGTTTGAGTGAATTTCTGAAGTATGCAATATGAAGTCAAGAAACTACTATAGTCATTTAGTGTGTTACAAAGCATGCAACTTGACTTTAGTTCTTCATGTTAACTGAGATAAACTGGATTAGCAAATGTCTTTCCTGCTGGTGATTGTGTCTCTTAAAACTTTTAATCTTTATAATCAATAAAATAGATTTTATTTTGAGCTATTTCCTAAAGATAAGTGGAGTTCTGAGTGTAATGGTAAATATTTTACGGCAGTTGTGTAAGCAGCATCTGTGTATTACTTCTCAGCTTTGGATTTGAATAGTAGTTACATAACACAAAGATGCTTCTGAATAAGTATTCAGCAGGGTTTTTTTTTTGTAATGTATTCACTCACCACTTTGGTATGCAAAAATATTCTGTTTTTCAGTTTCATGTATTGCTCTCCTCCCTTACTGTTGCAAGTTATAGCCTCGAATTCCCTAGGGACGTTGATACCTGTTTTGCAGCATTTTATGAAGCAGAGAACAACATCCATAGAAGAGAAGTTATCCTGGTCATTAGAATTCTCCAAGGGAGATCCAAATTACTAAATCATCAGGAGACTTGTGTTACAGCCAGTGCTTTTGTGAGCGGTTCCAGCTACCAGAGTCCTGCCGTTTATTCTATTGCGAGTATTTGTCCTCTTGAACACAAAGCTTATTGGGAACTGACCTGGGCTGAGGCAGCTCTTTGCTCTTCTACCATGTGCAGCTGATTTTAGTCTTGATCAGTTCCATAATCTGGTTCTGCATCTGAGAGGAGGCATTGTAGCAGTTGGAGGGAAGAAGGAGGGGCTGTGAGAGATGCCTTGCACAGGAGGACCAGTTTGAATTGGTTAAATTAATTTATTAATCAGTGCCTTGATGTCATCATATGTTCTGGTTAAGATACCTTGCTTTTCAGTTGCTGGTTTGGTGAGGGGGCTGTTGACTTTATACTTCTCTGTTTTGTGACTTTATGCAGCTTGACTTCGAATAACTCTTCCTGAAGGGAAAAATGAGACCCCGTGCCTTTGCCCCCACCCGCTATTGAATGTATGGATAGTTCTGAGTGACCAAATCCACGCTTTTGATGAGAATTTGTCACCAAAAGAAAGTTAATTTTACTGTCTTTGAGCCTATCTGTTTCACACACTTTTAATCTGAAAATAGCATAGCTAGAGAATCAGAGATCCTGGAAATCATTTAAATCCCGATCGTACATACAGACACAATAAATATTCTAGTGAGGTGATATGTGTGTTTTCTTTCTTCTGAGACAAAATATAAAATCACATGTGTTTTAAATGTTAGCTTGAGTTGCCTTGAGAGAAAATTGTTGTGTATAACTATATATAATGTATTATTTTTAACAGCTTGCTTTTACACGAGATGGACTATGTGGCTTGTGGAACGAAATGGTAAAAGATGGGGAGATTGTATATCCTGGAACAGAATTAATACAAAGTGGTGAACTACCTCCAAGAAAAGGTATGCATTTTAATTTTTTTTTTATTTATTCATTTTTTCTTGTGATGATGAAATTGGACTTCAAACTCCATACTGTGACAGACCTTTGATTTATCATCACCTGTCTATATGATTTGCAGGTGTTCATGTTTTGAATGAAATACAATTGAAAGTGATTTCTTAAAATCACTTCAAATGAAGGCTTAAATCTGTTCCAGCCTTCTGAAATTTAACTTCGTAATTAGGCATGTTATTATGAGAGAGGCTTGTTTAGTGGGTTGACCGTGGCCAGATACCACTAAAGCTGCTCTCTCACTCTCCCTCTGCAACTGGAAAGAGGGGAGATCAAAAAAACAGCTAAGAATTCGTGAGTAGAGATAAGAGCTGGGAGAGGTCAGTGACTGATTACCTTCACAGGCAAAACAAGACTCAAAGTGGGGATAGTACTTACATTTATTACTAACAGGGTCAGAGGCAAAGAGTGAGAAATAAAACAGTCTTAAAAACCACCTTACCCCCATGCCTCCTTCTTTCCATGTTCTCCCTCCTACCCCCCAGCGGTGCAAGGGGACGGGGAATGGGGGATACAGTCAGTTGTTTCTGCCGCTGCTCAGGGAGGGGAGTCCTTCCCCTGCTCCTGTGGGGTCCCTCCTTGGAGGAGACTGTCCTTGATGGACCTCTCCAGCGTGAGTCCATCCCTCGGGCAACAGTTCTTCCCAAACTGCTGTCCTGTGGGTCACTTCTCCATGGGGATGCAGTCCTTCATGAATGAGCTGTACCGGTGTGGGTCCCCCCCAGGGGCCACAAGTCCTGCCTGGGAAAAACCTGCTCCAGCGTGGGCTTCCCTCTCCACGGGCTGCAGGTCTCCGGCAGGACCCCGCTCCATCTTGGTCCTCCTACGGGGTTACAGCCTCCTTCATGCATCCACCTGCTCCAGCATGGGTTTCTCCATGGGTTGCAGGTGGGTCTCTGCACCCCGATGGTCCTCCATGGGCTGCAGGGGCACAGCTGCTCCACCATGGTCTGCACCACGGGCTGCAGGGGCCTCAGCTCCAGTGCCTGGAGCACCTCCTGCCCCTCCTTCTGCACTGACCTTGGTGTCTATTTTGTTATTCCCATGTTCTCACTCTGCTCTTCCCTGGCTGGAATTTCTTCTGTGCAACAATCTTCTTTTCTTAAATATGTTATCACAGAGGCGTTACTATCACTCCTAATTGGCTCGGCCTTGGCCGGTGGCAGGAAGTCTGTCCTGGAGCCGGCTGGCATTGGCTCCATGGGACAGGGGAGGCTTCTAGCAGCTTCTAACAGAAGCCACCCCTGTAGCCCCTCCCCATCCACCCGCTACCAAAACCCAGCCACAGAAACCCACTACAGCTTGGCAGTGTCTTTTTGTTTGGTATGCTTGGTGTGTTTACAGCTGAAGCCTTTGTTTAAAGGAAGTGGGTTGAGGAATGGGATAAAGCCGATACTGCTATTTCAAATACTGTTTACAATCTTCATAAAGTAACTGAAAGGTCACCTAAAAAACTGTCCACAATCTGACTGAGAATGTAGTGCTTTTTTCTGTATGTGTGTGCCTTCCTGTGTACTTGAGAGCCGTTCAAACATTGCAACTCCTGCAAATGGCAAAGAAATACATCCATTTAGAAAGATTACTTTGGTAGAGGTGGATTTTGTTTTGTGATGGGCTATGCCAGAATGGAGGGATTCTGCTCTTGCCTTTTTTCCATCTTCATATTATGGTGCTTTTTCGACTCCTTATTGAAGAGGAAATTAAACTGTTCAAAAAAAGAAAAGATTTGTTTCTTAATCTGGCTGAAATGGATTTACCAAATGGTGAGATAAGTTTTGTCAGTAATTTATAAGACCCCCAAATAAATGAGAAGGGTGGAAATACTGCCTTTGGTATCAGTGAACTATTATTTCAGCATCTGTTACTTCCTGAACTGTACTGTTGGATAGGCATGGTATTTCAGACCAGTTATGCTCAATTCCTTATGTAGACAATTTTTTTGTAACTATAGTATACCTTCTTTAAAAATAGGAGGGAGAGGAATGTGTTTTTGACTAGAGGAAGTTATTCCTACAGGAAAGAAGCTGTAATAGTTTATGAGAGGAGAGTGAATTCTGTGTTATTTTTATCAAGAGTACAAGCTTTGTAGGTTATGAGTGGCTGCGTGCTGTAGTAAGGACTAGAGTTATGCTCCTAGCTGTTTCAGAGTTAGAAATCTTTTGTCTTTCTTCTGCTGCTGGCCTTTTTGAATATTATTGCTGATGCTGGACAAAAATACAGCTGATCTTATCAGAAAGGCTACTACAATAGCTTCCCATGAAATGAGTGGAGGTAAGGTAGTGTAATACTTCTTTTTTCTTTGGATTGGCCAGTTCCGTGTGTATTACTAAAAGGCCTTGTAAACTTGATGCAGTGAAGGGAAGGATCACCCCCTAAGTGAACTATGGAAAATGCTTTCCTGTTCACCGAAAGCTCATGAGAGAGGAGTTGTGATGGTCGTAGTATAACAATTCCACACACACCGCTTTCATGTAGCGAGAAGATAACATCTATAATAAGGAAGACTATAATAAAGTAAATAACTACTTTACCAGTGAAATTGATTAATTCATATTTTTGTGCCAGATACTTACACCTTGTTTTTAGAGTTGTACCTGTGCTGGTATTTGAGAGAAAACTATTCTTCTACTGACTTTATAGCTAAGTAGCTGCAGTTGAATTGATACTTTTGTTAGTTATGGTGCTGTACTGTTTTCAATAATTCTGAGAAAGCTTATAGAAAGGTGTCATAATAGGTTTTAGTTTTCAGGGGAATCACTGAAATATCAAGTAGGAAATTGCAGTCTGTCACTTCTGATGCAAAATGTAGAGAGCAGTGTAAAGTAAAAAAAACAAGTGTTAGGTAAGTCAGTCTTCTGTGACTTCACATGTTCATCCACATGGGGACATTTGTTCTGAATAATGATGTGATTTTTTAAAAAATGCTGTATGTATGTATGTGTGACTTCAAAGGATCAAAAAGGTATAAGGTGTTAAAGGCTCTAGGATACTGTTACTTAAAAATACAGAATTTCTGACAGTTTACTTTATACAGTTAAGTCTTTTATGTTACCTTAAAGCATCCAAGCTGCAATCAGGCTTTTGAAAGCTTTCTTATATCCATAGTGGTGGTAGTGATGTTGTTGAAGGCAGACTGCCACTTGTTTCCAGTACTGTATTGTGATGGTTTGACCTTAACCAGCTGCCCACCCTTCCGGGTCCTCACTTGCTGCCCTTCCTCAATAGGACTTCAAAAAGGAAAAGCTTGGGAATTGAGATAAAGCCAAGGAAATCACTTACCAGTTACTGTCATGGGTAAAATAGTCTTGAGAAAAATTAATTTAGTTTATTTTAGTGCAAGTTAAGATAGAATTGGATGTGAGTAACAAAGATGAAAACAACACCTTCCCCTTGCCCTTGCTTCTACAGGAGTTAAGTGTGGGTACCACATGGCACAGGTCACACCTGTTCCTTTCCACAGCTGCAGAGTGTATGTTCTTCTACATAGGTACTTCTAAAACATCTACTACTCTAAATGCTGCAGTAATTTAGAACTTTAAATAAGAGCTTTTTCAGGCTCTTAATGCTTAGCATCAGTGTGAATTCTATTATAGTGAAGTTAGCCTTCATAAGCGCCACTGTGCTGGGCCCTACAGGATTGTAAAATGCAACGGTCTTGCTTACTAGACTGGAGCTTTAAGAAGAAAGAGCTAATCAAGGCTATTTTTGGTCAGTGTCAATCAGATTGTATATTTGATTCTGTTAGGCAGTAGTGAATCACAGAAGCAGAAAAAGTGATGGTCAGTTTGCACCTCTGAACTTGCTTGAATTGAGTTTCGTGAAATCGAGATCTAGGTATTGGTTTGTTTAGTTTGTGCTTAGGTTTTTGCATAAATGATCTACAAATGTAATTCGAGGAGTGGGAAAAGTACATATGAGTAATGAGAGTTATGAAAAACCCAGTGGTTTTATAAAAAAAGGAATATATATTCATCTCAGTCTTCAGACTTAGGTATTAAATTGACTAATTTGGAGATAAACAAGAGAGGTTGCTGTAAGTAGTCCCTTTTATTCAGTCTGTTTTAAGAAGTGTTGACTTCGTACTTTACTCCATGGTAACTCTTTTTCCACCGATGCTGTCGCTCTCTGTTGATGCTATCTGGACTGCTCAAAAGAGGCACTTCATTCTTTCAGTGGATATTAGCAGTGGCAATAGACATGCTATGGATAGCAAAAACCAGTTTGTTTCTCTCTAGGAAGAAGATGCAAGTAGTGTGTTTCTTCTCTTCCATTAGCAAGAACATTTGGTTAGGAATAACCTCTTTTTATTTTTTCTTCATGGCACTTTCAGAAAAACATGTTTGATAAATGTGTTAAACAGAATGTGTTTGCATGTTTCCAAGTATCATCTGAGGACACAGCTGTGACAGTACTGATGTCCAAATACAGGTGCACTTGCAGCGTGGCATGTACTTAAAGGATAATCAGGCTGCCCTTGGGAAATTTGGATTAGATTAATGTCTTGTATACTGGAAGCTATGTACTGAAAATAATAAAAAGTATTAAATAATATTATTCTTACTAAATTTTGAAGTTAGAGAACTCTTTTAAATTTTTAAGACATATCAGTCAAGTACACAGGTCCCTTTTATGGGTTGCTATTTTTTATTTATTTTTGATTCCTCAGACTTTATAGGTGGGAATTTCTGTTTCAGTTAGCTATTCTAAGTTTCAGGGCAAACCCATGAAATTATTAGCCTCATACCTCTGTCCTGCCTTTGGTAAACACTGTGGCTTCCTCTTCTATTCCCCCATTACTGAAAGTTGGACCTTTGTCAGCCTGATGCCATTGAATCCACAAACCTCATTCAGTGTTGCACCTGCAAGCAAATTAAATAAAGTCCAAATGCCACAAGCAATTCCAGAGAGGCTGGCAGAAATGAAATCTTTATGGTAAGAATAACAGCATGTGGAATTGGTGATGGTGGCTGCTGTTCAGACCATGTATGTATCAAACCATAGTAGTATGCAGGCATGTAGGCTGGCTCCTGCTTTGAGCTTCCTCTTTTGTGTAAGAAAGAACTTGTTAGAAGTGAGAGGTGTTGCTTTGCACATCCTCTCTTCTGCTTTCCCTGACCCAGCTATGGGCTGTACCCAGTGGCTCAAGAATTCAGTGCTCAGCTGGGGATTATTATATTCTCTCTGCAGGACAGAGGGAAGCCTGTAATCACCCTGTTGGACAGTTTGACTTCATAAGTGTAAAATGCTCTATTGCAAATTCAACAGATAATTTAAAGAATGCATTTAAAAAAATAGTACACTAGGGAAGAAAAGAAACTTTATTTCTGATTAGAGTTAGGAGGTCAGAATCTTGTATCATCCTGACTTCTATATCGGGAAGGGTGTGTAAACATGGCTTGCAAATGTATAGGCATGTATTCTTCCCTCACAAATAACTATCAATTGAAGTTTACACACACACATATATATATACATACATACATACATATATATATATATATATATGTATAAGAAAACACTTTTACAGAAAACAAATAACTATTTCGTATTGCAGCTGAAATACTTCCTGAATCTGGGACTGCCAAATGCTGATTTAGAGTAGTTGTGAAATACAGCCCTTGCCTAAGCACCCTGTGTGACTTTTTGCCTTGTGAATGGCAACATCTGTGGAGAGAAGTGTTGCAGGCTTTCTCTTTCTGCTGAGAGATTCCTAATGATACCCATTCATTGGCATTTCAGAGCAGCATAAGACCATACTGCAATACGTGGTGGAGGCAACTATGTGGTATTGTCTTTTTTCGTCATTGATTATGAAATGTAAGTTCCACTTCTAGTGCTTCCTTTTCATCCTCCATTTATACTGGATTGGGCTATGGCTGTCTAAGATAATGCAGACATGGTAAACTACTGCTCTCTGATTTGGGAGCTAATTTCTAGTTGAGGATGGTTAATACAGTTGCTCGATTTTGACTGGGTATGCCTACCTGCCTCAGCTTAAACCAAAACATAGTTAAGAGAAAGTTCTTTCAGGGAAATGTTACACAGTTGTTTTCCCCCGTCACAATATTCACACTTCACTTTGAGGAAAACTAAATTAAATCAGGTTGTCACACTGCACTGTGTTTTTGCATGCATTGTTTTGAAAACTGTCATAACTTGTTACTTTGGCCATTCTGGCTTTGCTCAAGATTTCATTCTTCCTGCCCCTCTTTCTGAAATATCTTTGAGTCTCCCTTTTTACAAATCTCTTTCATAAGTGTAACTGAGCTTCCATAATTATGATGTCTGTTTTGCTGCTTTTGATTTAGACTGATACCAGCTTTGTCCCTTAGAGGGCAAGTGGTTTTTTGCAAGTATAGTCAACTGTCTTTTAATGAGATTTTTAGCTCAGCTCCTTCCCACTTTTTCTCTCATTGCTCCCCTTTCCTGTTCATGCAAACAGAAAAATTCTCCTGTGGATTTACATGTTGTTTACAGTACAAAGCTTGAGTTCTCACCTGGATTGGGACCTTCTGTATTTGCAGCGAGAAGCTGGACTAAATGATTAAGTTTATAGCCCTTGGTTGTCATCCTTTGCCAAGAATCTATTTAGAATTTCTCCTACAGCTGCCTGCAGAACAGTGTCTTGGCACAGCACCCTTCTACCCACTAACTAAAATTCCAGACTTTGTGAAGTGTGTCACTAGCTGTGTGGGTGAGTGGCAAAACACAGATTGTGGTGTTACTGTGGAAATATTCTGGACCACTGGGGCTGAACAGTGTCCTTAGTTATAATGGATTCTGTACCTTTAGTATTATTTGCTTGTGCCTTTGAATAGAAGCAGCTGGATTGAATCGCATTTTGGACGTTGTTATCATGCTGATGACTCATAGGCTGTTCCTCAGTGTTTGAGGGAGATGGTTGTACCCTCTATGATTGCCACTTAAAAGAGGGATATCCAAGCTGCATTTTCTTATTCTCAAGTGACTTTGTTATCTCTTTAGCTCACAATCTCAGCTCTAGCATGGATACTGCAGTTATGTCTCTTCTTCCTTTTTTCCTGCTCTTCAATCTTGATCTTCCACCTCCTGAGTACTTCTGTCTGACAGGTTAGGAAATGCTGGCTTTAATTTAAAACTTGTATAATTAAGGCACCCCAAAAAGGTTTATTTGGGATGTGCTATTGTCTATAGCCTAACAAATTTTAAACAAAGAGGTAATCACAGATCCAGTTACAACCAGATTAAGCATTAATTTTCTGTCAGGCCAGATGGAAAGAGTAGTTGAATGGTTTTGTACATTTGATAGGTGTATTTTATTTGTTCTGAGCCTTTGAACTCTCTGTCAGAGTGAGGCAGGCTGCGGTCAGATGTTCTGTGTCTGGCTACAGCTGTAAACCCCTCATTATTATCTTCTGAAATAATGCTGGTACAAATGCATTTTTTTCTGGGGATATGTGGGGTGAGATAGGAAAACAGACAAAATACTAGTGCTTATCTGACATACTGTGACTGGGACATTTAGGGAGGGAGTCTCTCTACACTAGATGGGCAGATTGGAATGGAAGACTGGCCAGTTGTAAGAGCCAGGTGAAAATGGCTGGAACTAAACTCTTCAGGGATAAGTTTCAAATGCTGGACTGGAGTAATTTTGGATGGTATTGTTTGAAAAGAAGAGCAGGGCGAGGAAAGCTGTTGCCCACATGTCCCTTAATTGCAAGGCAAACTTATGCATTGAACTGACTTGGAGCATGGATATGGAAATCCATATTCCCAGTATGAATAAGGACAGATGTCCAGCTCTCTAATTCTACTGTGTTTAGAAAATTAGGACTTTCATGGAGCCTTTGATTACAGAGATAAGTGACTAATGTCTGTGTTCTGTCTTTATGAAAGTAGTCTCAAAAGGATTGGAAATGCTGTTTTATTGCTTGGGCAGAAAATGGTGGTATTATTTTCATTACTTACTGGTAATTACTAAGATGCTGGATACATTACAGATGTTGAAATACTGCTGCATAAAAGTAGTGTAAATGGCAATATATAGCTCTGCATGATTTTGAAATTAAGGCAATTACTATCTTTTTCCTGTGTTGGAAATGGAATATAGAAACAAGTAAATTCTAGGGAAATGCTGATAGTTGGAAGCAAAACCTGACTTTGCATCCTTTGCAGTACTGTGTTGCAAATCTGTTGCAAGTCTTACATGACGGTATCGATATTAAACGTTCATCACTCCAAGGAGATTACAGTGGGGATTTCTGGGTTTTAAGGTCACTGTCTTACGAAATGTAAGATGAGACCTAGCACCTGTGACAGTTAATATGGTGAAATACTGCTTCCCCCCACCCTGTACTCTTAATGGTAGACAGTATTGCTCGAAGCTTGTGGGCTGGGTATTTCACCTTTACATGTCTAATATAGACCTGAATTCAAAGGGAAAGTAGCTTAACTGGTCTTTTTTTTGTTTCCTTTAGATGATAGCACTGAATGCCAAATTGCATCAAAGAAAGAAGAGCAAAATGACAAAGAAAAGAAAGATGAAGAAGATTCTCCACTGCCCACTTACAGGGCCAAATCGATTGTTGAGAGTTGGGTGTGGGGCAAACAACCAGGTATTACAGCTGTTTTGGTTATTGTCACTGAAGCATTACGTGTTTTCTATTGATCACTACTTTTGTAGCATTAGGAAGTAATTGCATCAAATGTACTTGCTGACAGATGGATCTGTTAGGTTAGTGAAATAAGTTGGATAAGTGGTTAACTATGATTTAAATAAACATTTACTATAATTAATTTCAGATATAATTAGACTCATAACTTGAAGAGTCAATTTGCACCTTTTGGCTGCTTGAAGGAGTGATAAACTGACTTGGAACAAATGAAGTTATAGAGTGAAATGTTCCAGTGTCTTCAGAATATTTCTTTTCAGGTGAAGACGCTAAAAAGAAATGGCTTAGTTTCTGAAGCCTGAATGTTGTGCAGGCAATAAAGGTTTAATAGGTGATTTTTCACTTTGATTTCATGATCTGGGAGATTGAGTGAATCATGGAAGGAAGGTTGAAATGGTTAGTTCAATTAACTGTTTGTCCTGCCTTTTGTTGACAGTAAACTTACCCTTTGGTGGAAAAATAGTCTGTGTGTTCACATCTTCATGTGGGGGTCTATAAAATACTGATTTTGATATAGAAGCCAGTTAAAGTTCATGGCTGTTTGTTACTGTAGATCAGCAGTTCATTGTCTAAAATAGTCCATGTTTAAAAATAGCAGATCAGAAGAAGCTTCACTTTGGTGGTTTGTTTTACAGTTCTAGTGCACGATGTTGCCCGATTCAGATGTTGGCATGTACAAACTTCAGAGACATCTGTTGTGCCACTTGTCCTTTCCCCTCACCCAGAAACACTTGAAGGTCCCCAGGAAAAGTATTATCTCTTCAGTGCCAGAATCTGCATCTGTGTAGCTCTGTTTGCTAGGGAAGCTGTTTGTTTCTGTTGAGCCACAGGTCAGCTGCCAGTCTGCTGTCCTCTGCTCTGTGCCAGCCAGCTTGCTCCCTTTTCTTAAGGGCAGGAGGACAGATGGATGTGGTGTCACTCTGGTAGTGGGACAGAATTTTGCAGTATAGGAGGAATGAAAAGAATTGCCACTACAGTGGATGGGCAGTGAGAATTGAATCTGTTGAAGAGATATAAGCAGAAGGTCACATTATTTATGTTTTATATTCTCATTTAATGTCTGTTACTGAACAGTAAAATAAAACTATTTATGAAACGGTAGCCTAAATGTTAAGTGTCTTACCAAATTTCTTCCAGCTGACCAAGGTGTTTGGGACAAAACCTGGCCTTTAAGCTCACCCTCCAACTATATATTGAAAAAGCAGTTTTTCAGAAAAAAAAGGATGTATGTGTGTTTGGAGTTGTCGGAAAGAAATAACGTACTGTCTTATAGTTACTTTTAGTGTTTATATATAGTGTGGTTTATTGGCGCACATTCTAGAGATAACTTGTGAAGACTTTATAATTTGTCAGAAATAAATTTGTATTCCCTGGTCTCTTTTACCGTTTGTGCTTGAAGTTTGTATCATCTAACTGTGACACAAAAATCCTTAAAAAGTACTGCAAACACTCCTACACTGTTAAGGGTGGCTTTTGTTCATGGTGGTGGATTACCTTGTTAATTTTTGGTTTGCATTTGTCAGAAATATAGGTAATAGCTGCCTTTTTGACCCATCCTAGCTTTTTTTTTTGGCTTGATAATTAATTTTGAAAAAATGACAGAGAATCAGTTCAGTTTTGATATTTTGTATAAATGTTTCATAAAATGAGAAAAACTGTTCTAAGCATTTCTTCTGTCTTCCTTCAAAAAACGAAACCTTTAAGTATTTGCCTGTCAAAACCATGAAGAAACTTTTGAAAAGAATTGTTTCTTAAATATATCATTGCTGATCAAGTAAGAATTAAAGACTTTTATGTCTTTAATTTAATGTTTTCATTTATGTTTTGTATTCCTTTAAAAGAAAGGTATAATTTGGAGATGTGAGATGTGGAGTTACATTACAAAAAGAACTGAAGTCTGTGTTTCAGGTCAATGCACTGACGTATTTCTAGTGAGTTTAATGATTTACAGTCCTACATTATGGAAATAGCAACTAGGTATTCAACACTGCATATCTATGTTTTAGAAGTGCTGTAATAAAACCTTTCTTGCCAAGCATGGAGGATCATGCTGTTGAACTTCAGCAGGCTAATCTAGGTCAGTGGGCCTTGTGACATCCCTCCCCCAGGGTCTTACTATTCCAAGTACTGTAAAAATCTGTAAGATAGTAATAAATACATGGGTAAGTAATTATTTGACTTTAAGGTGTTTTTCCTTCTCTTTTGCATCTTACTGTTCTTCGAATTTTTATTCAGCTCTTTTCTGATATTGATGTTGAACTATTCAGGCCTCATTTGTGATGTGAGTTCTTCCTTAAAATGTCTTCTCCCTGTTGTATTTGTACCAGGTTGAGTATGTTCATAAAGCAGTTCTTCCTAAAAATCTCTGTTAACTACTTTCATCAGTTTTCTTTTCTGGAGATACTTGATTTTTAACATCCTATATGATCTGGAGAGTAGTCCAGGTGTTCAGCCCTAGTAGGGGAGAAAGAGAGGAAACCCTTTGAAGTGGTTGATCAAAGCCTACAGAAAACAGAGTGGTATTTCATCTTCTTGGGCTTCTTTTTCTTAGTGGTGATATGCTTAAAGTTGGCTATATTGAGCCAAATGAAAGGACAGTCTAGTCCAATGTCCTGACAGCAGTGGCATAAATAACAGTAGCCAAGCAAATAATGAGGTTCCATGTTTATAATACATTGTCTGTAGCCTACTGTCCTTGAGACGGAGGTGGTAGTATGGGACAGTGAGAATGTGCATTTGAATTCCATCCACCTCCCCCTTTTATTTTCCTGGAACATATGTGTGCATGGCATACCTTAATATTTTTAATATATTTATGTTTAATATTTTTATGTTGATTTTTTTCCCCATTAATTTGTCTAATCCCTTTTGAACATTCTGAACTTTTAGCATCCACATCTATATGTAGCAAGGAGCTTTGTAATTAATCTGTTTATCTCGTGAATATTCATCTTTTGGTCCTTGACTTGATTTTCGCATTTGTTGGTTTCACCTAATGCCCTGTTGTGGAAGAGAAAGTGAGTAGTTGTTCCTCACTTCCCCAACACTGGTGGGGTGGGTTCTTTGTGTTCTAAGAATTCTGGCATAATCACCTCCCAGTTGTATTTGTCCATCACTAAAGATCTTATTTCATGCAAGTTCTTTGCATACGGAAGCTATTCTCTTAGTTCTTCCCTCTGGGTTTTTTTTTTCTTTTTCTTCTATATTTTTGTGCCAGAGAAGGTAGGTTGGGAAATGTATGTGCTTCTTCAGCTGTGGTTACCTCATGGGTTTCATGAAGTGGTATAATGATTCCTGGTTTTTGTTTTGTCTGTCTTGATACCCTGTTTTTCCAGCTGCTGTTGTACAGCGAACCAGTTTCTTCTTGAATTTACCATGGTACAGTACCAAGATTTTATCCCTCAGTGGAAGGTTGATTTGAGACCTTTTTATAGGGAAAACTGGGATTTTTGTCTCCCTTCCTCACCAGTGTATATCTAACATTTTACTGCTGACTAATTTAAGTGCCTACATGTTTTTGCAGTTGGCTGTCATCTTTACTGATGTAGTACCAACAGACTTCATGGCCCAGATATTTGTCTCCATTTTCACCCAATTTTACACATTTCTGTGGGACTTGTTGTTGCCTGTAGTGTATGTAGGCTATTTATTCATTTTCCATATGCATTTCTGTCAGTGCTAATGGTTAGAACATTTAACATCTAATATATGTCACTGTTGGGTGTTTTGAAATGTCTTCAGTACACACCATGCTGTTGTAGATATAAAATCTGAGAGATTTGAGTATTTTTGACTTCCATCCAAAAGTGCAGTTTTCCCTTATTCCCTGAAGATGAATCCTCTTTGTTGTTTTGTTTTGGCAGTGGTGGTTTGGTATGGTGGTTTTTTTTTTTGTTTGTTTTTGTCCCCCCCCCCCTCACCCCGTCTTGAAAGGAGTACTAGCTAAATCTTTCTCAAAGTTTAGAATTGTAGAGCCAGGTAACTTTGTGGATATAGTTGAGTATTTAATACCACTTGATGTAAGGTAATTTTTATTTCTTGAAAAGATTAGAAACAGTTCCACTGGTGCAACAACTATTTGTCTAAAAACTGAGCTTTACAAACAAATAAATTGTGATTCAAATTCACTGTAATCTGATCTTATTTCTTATGTTTAAGATGCTAAATATTGCATACTTGCAGACAAAGTTAAAGTCACCTTAATTGCTGTCTGACTAGAAAATGACACTTTCTACTTAGAAGTTTCAGTAGGGGTGCTACTGTTCTGTTTCCCCTCAGGACAAGAAAGTAAATGAGGAAATAATCTTAATGCAAACATCCTTAAATGAATAAGCAATGTACTGTTGAAGTGGGGATATGGTTTTTTTGTGTAGTCAGATCTGGTTTGTATTAATGGTGCATTAATCTGTTATGGTGGTAAATCAGTGTCATGGTGTTGCATTTCTGGGGTTTCCTCATATGTGAGTGAGGGCTTGTTTACAGACAGTGCTGCATCTTGTTTTCCGATATTGTTAGTACAGCTGATTGCACAAAGAAATGATTTAGAGTCAGCACCAAACACAGAAGATTAAAATTAACCCTGTGACTTCAGTGGGCTATTGTTGAGTTACCTGTCATTAGCAACTGCAGTTGACTCTTCCTGTGTTTGCTTTGTGAAAGAGAAAGTGATACGCAGAACTTCCATCCTGTAAGGGGCTCCTAGTTAGATGATTAAATCTAAATTTATACTGTGTGCAGAAGGAATTAAAAAGTAGTCATGGCACTGAAAAAACTTGCTTTTAACCTTCTTTATTTTGATATTTTCTGCTTTTATCAAATTTCTTGATCAACACTCATTTGACTCAGCATTTTTAAATCTAAAGGATGAAATTTGACCTCCCCGTTCTACATTTCTTAGAACTTCTCCATCCCTGTTTTTTTTCTTTTAATTTCTTGCCACTAGA